CTCCCTGCTCGGCAGGGAGTCTGCTTCTCCCTCTGACCCTCCTCCCTCTCATGTGCTCTCTCTCTCTCATTCTCTCTCTCGCAAATAAATAAAATCTTAAAAAAAAAAAAAAAAAGAATGCGCTGGGGAGTCAGGTGGATGTGGGTTCCTATCGCAGCTCTACAGAGCAGCTAAGTGACTCCGGCCACGTTATAAAAGGGCACTCCTTGGTCTTTAATGTACACCCGCAGCTCCTAGGGATCTTGTTAAAAGGGAGAGTCAGACTCAGAAGGTCTGGCATGGAGCCCAGGATTGCGCCTCTCCAACCAGCTCCTGGAGGGACCACTGCTGGATCTCAAAACACACTGGAGTGGCCAGACTCTCAGCCTCCCGAGCCTCTGCTCCCTTCTGCAATGTGGGGGTAACAGTGAGACACACACAGCTCAGAGATTCTGCTGTGTACCCGCATACCGTGCCCAAAACCCAGTTCCAGTTACCAAGAGTGAAGAGCGTCCCAGAGGCACTGGGCCCTCACTGGCAGAACTGCTCCGAGCTGGCCTAACCCCCTGCCCACTGCCTCTGCCTCAGGTCCTCAGCTGAGCTGCTAGGCAAATGGGGTCCCAGGGGAAGGCCCAGCAAAGGTGAGGCCAGGGCAGCCCTCCCACCTCCAGCACTGGTCAAGCGGGGAACAGGCTACCCCACCTAGAACCAGCTGGCCTGAGAATCCCACATGAGAGCAAGCGTCTCTTCGGATTCATCCAGCCCTGTCTCTCCGGTGCCTGACCCAGTGCCAGCACCCAAGCTAGTCAGCAAATACAGTCCACAGCGAAACGAGTTTTCAACAGATCACCCTCCCAATCTGCATATTAACGTCTTCATGCATAGGTGTGTTCCTGCACAATAAGAGAACACTACAATGGAAAGTGTAAAATGATCAGGTGTGAAAGGAAGGCAAGCAGATCAATCACCTCGAGCACACCCACTTTAGAGCGTCTGAGAGCACACTGGTCCTCACCGCCCAGGCATCGCCATGTTCTGGGCACATCCCCACACCTGCCTGGAGCCTCTGCCTGGGTGGCGCTCAGGGACCAACCACTTGCATCATGGACAAGCACCCCAGGGCCTCCTGGTGCTCCCCCACAGGGAGAGAACAAGAGTCTAGTATGAGGGTCAAGGGCTCATGTGGGGCTTGAGGCCCAGCTCCATGCAGCCATGAGCAAGTCACTGAAATTTCCTAAGGCTCGGTCATCTCATCTGCCAAATGTCGGTCCCTACTGCTCAAAGTATGGGAAAGATGAAATGATGTGCCTAACATGTTGGCACAGAGCCAGGCGCCCAGCCAATGATACTCTTGTTAACTGGCATTTGACGATGCATTAAAGCCAAGTCTTCTATGGCCACTGAAGAGTGTTGACAAGGAACCAACTGCCTTGTATGGAGATTGACATAAAGAAATGTACCTGTATTCATCACCTCCTCAAGGGGGCGCCACCACTGAGTATATCCACCCATTTCATGGGCCCATTACTCCATTTAAATTTGGGAACTTTACAAACTGTTGAAGCACACTCACAATAAGAAGGGGGGGCGGTGATATCTGGGAGCACATCTGGGATAACTGGTCATCTCCAGCAGCTGTGACTGTGGGGACTTTTCACTTCGTATATACAGAAATGTGTATATTTCTGCATTGTCTGAAAGTTTGATAATGAACTGTATTTTTGCAATCTTTAAAAAACAAGAAGTATTTTTTAAAGGAGATAGAAAGATACCCACAAAATAGCAAACAATCCCATCCATCAGGCATCAAATATTATAAAAATAATATTCAGTTCACCCTTGAACAACATGGGGGTTTGGGGCGCTGACCTCCTGGGGAAGTTGAAAATCCACGCATAACTTTTGGCTCCCCAAAAACTTAACTACTAATAGCCTGGTTGACTGGAAGCCTTACTGAGAACATGAACAGTCAAGTAACACATATTTTGTATGTTATATGGTATTATATACTGTATTCTCATAACAAAGTGAGCTAGAGAAACAAAATATTAATAAAATCATAAGGAAGAGAAAATACATTTATAATTTAAAAATAAAAAATAAATCAAATATAAATAAAAATATAAACGTAAAAATAAATAAATTAAATAAAATAAATTTAATAAAATAAAAAATAATTTATTTTTAAAAAATCCACAAGAAAGGGGACCAGTGCAGTTCAAACTCATGCTGTTCGAAGGTCGAATGTGTATTAAAAACCAAATTAAAGGATCACCAAATGAATAGGACTTTTTAAAAATATTCCTAGAAGGTCCAGGGATGGCACAATTTTTAGAAATAGAATACCCAAACTGCTCCCCTAAAATAAAACATTCAAAATAGGGCTAAATTGAGGGCAAAGTAATTAGGGTTGAGTTTCAAGCAAACTGACCACAAGGGGACTTGAACACCAGAGAAACTAGTTTTAAGGGGACTGGCGGGGCCATCCTCGCTTCCTTCAAGACCCTGACCCCCCAGCAGCAGTGATGGGGCGCCAACAGAGCAGCTTCCCCCCTCCCAGCCCTCCCAGGGCCCCACAGAAGGTACGGCTAGTGAGACTCACTGGGCGTGGGGAGCTGGGGCACAAAGGTGACAGAAGGTGGCGGCCAGTGGAGGGGGCCTGTGGAAGCATCCCAACCCTGATGCCCCATCTCAGGGCAGTGGAGGAGGGGATGGAATTGTTTACAAGAGGGGTGGTGTCGGATCTGCAGCCCCGGGCGGCCCCTGGCCAGGCCCCTGAAATGGACAGTTGGCGTTGGGCGCACGAGTGGAGGGGAAGGAGGACAGAGACAGAGAGAGAAAGACAGCCAGAGACCATGAGAGAGTCTGAGGTACAGCTGGTGAGAAGGCAGGAGGAGGAGGAGGAGACGGGGAGAGAGATACTTACTTCACGGTTTATCCGAATCTTAATGATGCCAGTGAGGGAACAGTACAAAGCAAAAGAGACAGATGTTAGGCCAGAGGCAGATGGAGGTGGACGGAGCACAGGAGTGGCCAGGATGGGCGATGTGAGGAGGGGAGGCAGAGCAGAGACGGGGGCAGGGCTGGGCCAGAGAGCAGGGAGTGGTATGAGCCTGCCGGGGGCCCATGGGGAAGCCAACCGGGACACTGAGGAGACCCAGAAGAGGCCCCTGTCATTGAAGTCGCCCGAGTCTGAGAGGCCAGGCCCAGCCCGTACCCCAGTCAAGGGAGAGCATGGGAGGTGGGGGAGAAGGCAAGGAATTCTGGAAAATATGGGGTAGCATATTTTCTGGCCCCCAGGAGGTGAAGAAGAAGGAAAGGAGAGGTCTCCCGCGTCACTGACTATCCCACCTCCCAGGCACACACCTTCCTCCTCCCTCACTCCTGCTGCTCCCTACTCCCACCCTTTCCTCTCCAGCCACCCAGAGCCGGCTCAAGCCCCCGCCTCCATGCAGCCCACTGAGGCTAACCCTGGCCATACCACTAACTTGCTGTGTGATGCTGGGAAAATCATTCCTTGTGTCTGGCCTGTGCTTTCCCAGCTCATCTGAAATGACTTTACTCGGAGATACGTTTATGTGTCTCCCCGACTAGAACCTATACATTCAAGGAAAGCAGGGATGGTGCCTATGTTGTTCACTGCTCTATCTCTGTTGCCCAGCATGATGCTCGAAATAGATCTGATAAACAAATAAATGATTCTCTCCCGAACCTGGCTTGCTGTCAGGGTGGGGGAGTCTGCCCTGGGTCCCTGGGCCCTGTCCCATCTTGCCCTTGTCCACACCTGGGGAGCAGATTCATCACCTCTTCACACCTGAGCCCAGGCCTCCTGGCTGCCTGCCCTGTCCCTAGCCCCTTGCTCTGGTCCATCCAGGCCCAGCTGCTGCGCCGCATGGCAGGAGAGCCTTGTGGTTAGCAGCAAAGGCTTGGGAGACACAGACAGGCTGAGATCTGAGTCCCTTTTTGCCCACTCACTAGCTCTGTGACCTCGGACAAGTAGCTCCACCTCTCGGAGTCTGTCTCCTCACCTGCAAAGTGAGGTCGCGATACTAACTACCTCGTAGCATGATTTCAGGGATTATATAAAATGAAATCTTTGATATAAAGTGCTTAGCACAGCGCTTGGCACACAGTACCTGCTCAATAAACATGAGTTGTTATTCTTCAAGTGCCGCTCTGCTCACAGTCCAAACACTTGCAGCAACTCCCCAGGACCCCTAGGGAAAAGCCCCACCTCCTCGGCCTGCCATCTGAGGCCTTCGAAGTCCAGCCCCTGCCTGCCTGCAGCCTTCCTGTGAGTCATGTGAATCCCAGCTCCAAGCTTCTCGGTCCCTCAGTGAGAGGGGCTCCTTCCTCAACTCCAGGCCTAGCTGTCTGCCCACTCCCCTTCTTTCTGCTTCACGGAAGCCCCTCCTCTGTCCGCCCTGCAGGAAGTTTTCCTGATGGCTTTCGTCTGCCCTCCCCTCCTCTGAGCTCCCTGGCACTGACTGCAGGAGGTGGGGGCGCTGTGAACCCCCATGTATTCCCTGCCAGGTCGCTGGCCTGCCTGGGCAGTACGCCTGGAGCGGGCGGGGCTGGGCCCGCAGAGATGAAGGCGAGGCACTCACGTCTATGTAGTTGGCATTAATGTAGTCGGCATCGGGGCCTCCCATCATCGGGGGCAGTTTCACTCGGTGCCGATCATCTGGAAACACAAAGCAGGGGACCATGGGGTGGGCAGGGACTGAGCTGGGGAGCACAGAGCTAGGGCAATGAGGGGAAGCTTCCAGAAGGCCAGAGGTACGGCACAGGCAGGAGAGCCAGGGAACCTCGAGGCTCAGGGCTGACCAGGAGGCTCTCAGCACCAGAGGGGGCAGGACAGGCCAGGGGTTAGAACCCGGGCTGCGGCACCAAAGGAGGCCCAAGGTCATTTGCTATTCAGGCGAGTATCAGCTGTGTGACCTTGAGCAGGGAGCTTAACCTCCCAAGCCTCAGTTTCCTTATCTGTAAACTGGGGGTTATAATATGTCCCACATCACTGGGTTATTGAGAGAAGTAAGTAAAATAATAGGTGTAATAATCAGCACATGGCTCGGCATGTGGGAGGCCCTCAATAGTGGTCACTCCAGCTATTCTCCAGCCCCACCCAGTTCCCTCCCCCATGGCCCCAGACCCAGGCCTTTCCCCAGGACTCACAGGCAGGCGCAGGCTCTTGCCGGCTGCCCTTGACCTTGTCTTTCTTCTTTGTGGCATCCCAGCCTTCAAAGAAGCTCTGCCAGAAGGGAAAGTAAAGGGGTAGTCAGTGGGGCAGGGAAACCCCTCCCCTCCTAACACCCCATCCCCTAACAGGGTGGTAGTGGGACCACAGATAAGGGCCAGATTCAGGGTTCAACTTGGAGCCTGAGATCAAGTCACCATATATCCCTTTATCAGCAAGAGACTAAGTTCAAAACCAAGCAGTGTGAGGGGAAGGAAGAGAGAAAAGCGGGGCAGTGGGGGGGGGTCGGGTCAGAGTTCACAGACACTTCAGAATGAGGGTCAGGTTTAGGGTAAATCCAGGTTTGAGTTGGGAAGAAGGTAAAAGTGAAGGTCAAATTAAGATTAGAATAAGGTGGTGTCAGAGTCCAGATGGAGGGAGGATGAGATTCGAATCAGAGTTCCAATAGAATTTAGGATGAGAGTCAGGGTCCAAGTCAAGACTGGGTGTTAGGTTAGAGGTCAGGGTCCCTCGTGGTGGTCAGAGTCATATTAGGGAGAGGATGAGGATCATGATCAGGGTCTAGATGGAGACTAAGAGAAGACTCAAGATCAGATTTCAAGTCAGGATCAGGAGGAGTGTGAGAAACCAGGTCAGTCTGAGATTGGAGTCAACGTAAAAAAAAAAATTAGGTTGAGTTAGGGTCTGTCAGAGCAAAGGTCCATCCAGGGCGAGGCTGAGGGTTGCCCAGGGTCAGGGTCCACAGCATGCAGGAGTCCGCCGAGGCCCTGGCGAGGGGTCCTGGCTGGACTGGGGCCCCGCACCTCGTACTCCTGCTTGAAGCCATAGCCCTCGGCCGTCTTCATCTGGTTGATGTGCTGCAGGAGGTCGGCCACACGCACCGCAGGATGCAGTTGCCCCGTGTGATATGGGGAGCCCTTCCGGCCACAGGGACGCCGCGGTGAGCCCCCCAGCAGGCTGCTGGCCTCAGTGACCCCGGCACTGCGCTGGTCTCCTGCAGTCAGAGAGAGGAAAGAGGGTTCCTGACGCACACGGCCCCCCAGCCTGGGACGTCCCAGATGGACTCGGGGTGGGGGAGGGGTGCATGGCCAACATGGAGGTTGTTCCCCGGGGCCAAGCAGCCTGGCTGGGCCCACCCGGTATGCCCCTGGGCAAGTCCCTTCCCTTCTGCATGTTTTTCCATCTGTAACATGAGCAGGTTGGGTCATGGGGTCTCCGGGGGACCCTTCCGGCCCAGCCCTTCTGGCCCTGCTGCGATCCTGGGGTCCCCTGACTCCATCCTGTTGCTCCCCAGCCTGGACCACCCCTCTGTGACTTCACCGCACTGCCTGCAGGGGGCAGCGCTCAGCAGAGCCCAAGAGAGCCCCCCCTTCTCCCCCTCTTCCAGAGAACAATCTGGAACAATTGGCAACTCCCAGTAATTACCCCCATTCAAAGACAAGCAAATCCCGAAATTAGCTGCTGCCACCACCCCCTCCACAGATTAACGGGAGGCACCTGAATAGCAGCATTTCTCCTGCACAAGCATTTCCATTGTCAGCCTGTGTGGCAGCTTCAGCCAATTGGGGAACAGGTCAGAGGTTCCCAGTGACACACACATACACACACACACACACACACACACGGGGAAAACTATCCCCTCCCTCCAGGCCCACCCGCTCCCTGCTCTTCTGGTCAGCATCCCCAAGGACATCCCACCCTGGTCCCCCAGATCAGGCCCTGGGACAGGGCAAAGTGCCCCACTCAGTCACACCCGCCTCTGGACACTTGCCCTCATACACTGAACACCCATGTCTCTCGTCCTGTCCTGGGTACGATGCAGGGGCTCAGTCAAGGCCGGCCCTCCCCATTTCTCACGGCTCTTCTCTGCCCAGGTCCCAGCTGGCAGGGGCAGGTGGGGAAACCCCCAGTGCGGCCCAGGTGCCAGCCCCCTCCCTTCCCACCACCTCCAATACCCTTCTCCTTCTGCTTTTGCCTGGTGCACTCCTATCCATCCTTCAGATCTTAGCCGGAATCAGCCTTCTTAGGGAACCTTCTCCGGCACCTGGCCTCTGACTCCTACTCATGGCTGACAGACAAAATGAATTCACGACATCAGGACAGACTCCTGTGCTGCTCAACTCCCCCAGACTCCAAGCCCTGGCTCTTCAAATCAGGGGGATTTCTGTACCCTGCTTGGGTTCCCTGTGCCACAGTTTAAAAACCGCCTCCAGGCAGACAGGCAGTGTGATGAAGCAGCCCTCCTCATCTGTTTCTCTTCTCTGGGGAATCAGTCCTGAGCTACCATTCACCCAATGTCTGAAGACAATTCCTTCACATTTGCTCCAGATTTTCTAGTTAGTTGCAGCTGGAGGGCAAGTCACGTGCCAGTTACACCACTGTGGTCAGATACCCAAGCCCTTAATTCTTCAGATGGAGAAACTGAGGCCCAAAGAGAGACTTGCCTTATGCAGTGGTTGCGAAAGTGCATTCCAGAAAACACAGATCACGGCAGATGACTAAGTGCTACTCCATTAAAAAGGAGAAGAGAAGGAGGATGAGGAGGGGTTCTCTGTTTTAAAGGAATCCGTGAAACTCTGGTTGAAACCAAAAGAAGTATGTTTTTTCCCTATAAGACCTCCCAGGGCTTCCTACTAATTAGTGTGCATTTTCAATCTCCAAGAGATGAGTAGAAACAGCAATGTTTCACCACCATCTCTCAACACGGAGAGCTTTTTTGTTTGTTTTGGGAAACATCCTCAGGGGAACAGAGGGATGACTGTGGTGATTAAGACACAGGCTCTGGAGTCAGACAGGCCTGAGATCAAATCCCAGCTCTGCACGGGACCCTGGGGATGTTACTTACTCTCCCTAAACTTCCCTCTTCATGTGTCAAGTGAAGACAAAAACTGTTGCTCTCCCATATGATGATACAAATATTAAATAAGATAATGCATATAAAGCACCCAGGCCAGTGCCCGGCACATAGCGAGCACCTGCAAATGGGGCTGTGGACATAACTAGTCCCAGAAAGCCAGGGCAGTTGGCTGACCACAGGGTCAGCCTGGTCCTTCTCCACTGCAGGATCCTGGTTCAGGACCCGACAATTCTGAAGAGCATCTACAATAAATACACAAGGGCAAAGATTTCAAGACAAAGGATATCTGCTGATTCGACACACTGGGAGACAGAGAGGTCCTAGTGCTCTTCATGGAAGCCGTGCCGACAGCTCCCTGGAGGGCTCTCCAGGTGCAGAAAGGGACAAAGGAGGGTGTGGGGAGTCCAACAGCCCATCCCTGATGACCTGAAGGGTCGGTCCTGAGGCAGCCTCACAAGTACACACAGAATCAGCTTGCAATGGCTGAAGACAAGCAAAAAATCCCACCTGGTCAGGGTCCTGATGGGAAGCCAAAGCCAAATCTTGGGCTTCTGCCCGAGCCCAAGAGGGATAGAAGATGTTATACAAAGACCACCAGAAGGGGCGCCTGGGTGGCTCAGTTGGTTAAGTGTCTGCCTTCGGCTCGGGTCATGGTCCTGGGGTCCTGGGATTGAGCCCGGCGTCAGGCTCCCTGCTTGGTGGGGACTCTGCTTCTCCCTCTCCCTCTGCCCCCCCCGCCACCCCCCATGCTCTCTCTCTCTCTAGCGCTCTCTCTCGCTCTCTCTCAAGTAAATAAAATCTTAAAAAAAACAAAACAAAGACCACCAGAAGACAACAGGGTGATGAGCAGTGATGTTGCCAAGAGGCTCTTCTACTTCCTGAGCCCAGAGAAGACAGGTCTCTACTCTCCTTGTGCATGAATTCCCCTGTGGGATGTGAGACACACACTCTCCCCCCCTACCCCACCCCCACCCCAAGAACCAGCTTGGAGGAAGAGAGGAAGGAAGGTGAGTGCCAGCCCTCAACTTCAAGACTGCCACCCGGGAATTCTTCCAGGCTCTCCCCAGCTCCATCCTGATTGTGGGACATCTTCTACAAGTAACTGCCGGACAGCTGAGATTTTGGGAGGGAGGGCTGAGGCCCAGAGGAAAAAAACACTGGGTCTGGAGTCAGAGAGACCCGAATTCAAATTCTGAGTCAAATCACTTGACCTCTCTGGGCCTCAGTTTCCCCATCTGAAAATGAAAATCTTCAGACCCTCCTCAAAGATGGGCCCTTTCCCCGATTCCCACCCACCTCAGACGAAGACAGGCTCCCGGTTATATGATCTAGGAGCACTCCAGACTTTTCCTTCCCTAGTGCAATTAGGAAATAACTTTAAAGAAACATAGCTTGTAATAATAGCTAATACTATCTTACATATCAAGTACTTTCATATGCCTGGCATGATTCTTAGGTCACTTAATCCTTAGACTATTCCTATGATGTAAGCATTACTGTCATCCCCTATCCAAATGAGGAAACCAAGGCCCACAAGGGGTGAGTTACCTAGTCATTAAGCAGCAGCACCAGGATTCAAACCCAGGCCCATTTGACTCTGGGGCCCTGTTGTCTACCCTACTTTCCCTGTCTTTTTCTTCCTGATAAAGGAGAGTGTGTGGTGAGGAAAAGAACCTAGCACTTATTTGACAAACCATTCGGCGGGCGGAACCCACTGGCACCCACAGAGGTCAAGAGCTCCAGATGGACAGGGCTCAGAAGGGATTGAGGGTTTTCACAGGCTGGATTTCAGACACAGCGGGGGGCCCATTCCCACATGCTGGGAACATCCCAGCCGCCTTCCTCACGGCCAGCCTGCCACCATTTACTCAGCGTGATAAGTCCCCGTTGTAAAAGACTGAGGATGCAGCCAAGGCAACCTGGCTTTCTGTTCCCCACCACCCAAATCTGGGTTCCTCTGTTTGGAAAGCAACGAAGGAAGTGGAGGCTGGGGGCATAGGGCGTGGGGAGAGAGAAAAGGGGTGGACCCACGGCCCCAGTCTCCTGACCACACCTCCGCCATAGTCTGCAGCGTGCCCATGGTTACTCCTCACCAGCAGCCACACCTTGCCCAGCCCAGCCCAAACCCTGACCACCTCTGCCCAAAGGCACTTCTTCTCGAAACTCCTACAGCACTAATTGCTTCCACCATCCCCATGGCAATTAGCCTGGGGCTGACTTCCCTAAGCCAGGTCTCCCCAGCTGTCAGCGAGCTGGCTGGGGGCGGAGCCCGTGCATCCTGCCTCTCTGGGGCTCACCAGAGGACTCAGCAGCAAGGCAGGCGCCCACACTGCCCCCAACTCCCACTCTCCCTGCCGACCACTGGAGTTTTCTGCCCAATCATACCTCTCCGTGTGCTCCCTCACCCGTGCATGCCCTTCCTTTCCCATCTCTGCCTGTCCAAATCCTGCCCATGCCTCGCTGGAGGCAGCTCTTTGCAACTCAGAAAGACCTGCACTTAAATCCTGGCTCTACCACTTTCTGCCTGTTTGACAAGTGACTTCCCCTCTCTGAGCCTCTCTGTTTTCTCTCTGCTTCCTCATTTGTAAGATGAGTTGATAATAGCCACCATGCTGGGCGGGGGTGAAAATTTAATGAGGGAGATCACAAAGACAACATGATAAATAAGGGCATGTCAGTGAATTTTAAAACCTAAATGAAACGGACAAATTCCTAGACAAATAACTACAAGTGCTTGAAAAAAAAAATAGAAAGTCTCAATAGTCCTCTACTCCTTTAAATAAACTGAATTAAAAGTTTAAAATTTTTCCATGAAGAAAACAACAGGAGAGATTGTTTTATAGGTGAATTCCACCAAACTCTCAAGGTGTCAATTATTCCAATCTTTCATAATAAGGAAAAAAGAGAAGAGACCTCAGTGCATTTTACAAGACTAATAGAATCTTGATACCAAAAACCAGACAAGGATAGTACAAAAAAGAGAAAATCATGGGCCAATCCCACTCTTGAATATAGCTCTGAAATCTCAAACAATATTATACCTATACTGAATCCAAAAAGACATAAAAAATATAATGCATCATGACCAAGCTGAATTTACCCCAAGCACTGAAGGTTATTTTAACTTTAGAAAATCTGAAAATGTCACTCCCCTCATTAACAACTATATATATATATATATACACACATATATACATATATATATATAAAATAGTGCAGAAAAAGCATTTGGTAAGTTTAATGCTCACATAAATAAAACCTCTTAGCAAACTAAAAACTGAAAAGAATTTTGTTAACCTGATAAAACATTTCTACCAAAAACTGTAGCAAACTTCATTCTCAGTGTTTAATGTTAGAAGCATTCTTTTTAAATCCAAGAAAACAAGACAAGGATTCCTGCTATTACCACTTCCATCCAATCCAGTGCTGGAGGTCCCAGCCAGTGCCTCTCAGAAAGACAAGAAAAAAAAGGAAGGGAAGTGAGACAGAAGAAACAGAATTGTTTGTATTTACAGATCTTTCGATCATACTCAGAAAACCTGAAAGATTCTACAGATAAATGAAAATTAGTAAGTAAGGTTATCAAGAACTATGGATATAAGATCAATATATATACATAAAAAATCAACTATGTTTCTCTACATAAGCAACAATTAGAAATGTTATATTTTAAAAGTGTACCATTTGTGTTGGGAAACTGGACATCCACATGCAAAAAAAAATGGAGTTGGACCCTTACCTCACATCATATACAGAAGTTAACTCAAACTAGATCAAAGACCTCAATGTAAGACCTAACACTATAAAACTCTTTGAAGAGGGCCACCTGGGTGGCTCAGTTGGTTGAGTGTCCATCCAACTCTTGATTTTGGCTCAGGTCATGATCTCAGGGTCATGAGATCGAGCCCCATATCGGTCTCTGCACTGAATATGGAGCCTGCTTGAGATTCTCTCTCTCCCTCTCCCACTGCCCCTCCTCCACCCCATTCATGTGCTCTCTGTCTCTATAAAAAAATAATAATTGTTTTAAAAAGATTAAAAAAAACTCTTAGAAGAAAACACAGGGCAAAAACTTCATGACATTGGATTTGACAATGATTTCTTGGCTATGACACCAAAAGCACAGACAATAAGAGAAAAAAATAGACAAACCGGACCTCATGAAAATTTTTTAAATTATGTGCACCGAAAGACACAATCCACAGAGTAAAAAGGCAATCCACCAAAAAGGAAAAAATATTTGCAAATCATATATCTGATAAGGGATTAATATCTAGAGTACAGAGAGAACTCCTAAAACTCTACAGCAAAAAAAAACACAAAAAAACCAATTCAAAAATGGGCAAAGGGCTTGAATAGATATTTCTCCAAAGACGATACACAAATAGCACACACACCCAAAGTGACATCATTCATCATTAGAGAAATGTAGATCACAACTTCAGTGAGATACTACCTCATACCCACTGGAATGGCTACTATCAAAAAAAAAAAAGAAAAGAAAACCCAGAAAATAACCAGTGTTACAAGGATGTGGAGCCCCTATGCACTGTTGGAGGGAAAGCCAGACGGTACGGCCACTATGGAAAACAGTATGGTGGTTGCTCAGAAAATTAAAAATAGAATTACCATATGATGCAGCAATTCCTCTGGATATGTACCCAAAAGAACTGAATCAAGGTCTCAAACAGGTATGTGTACACCCATGTTCATAGCAGCATTCTTCACGATAACTAAAACATGGAAGCAACCTAAGCGTCCATGGGTGGATGAATGAATAAGCAAAACGTGGTACATACATGTCATGGAATATTCATCAGCCTTAAAAAGGAAGAAAATTCTGAAAGATGCTCAAAGATGAAAGAAGCTAGAAAACATTCAGCTAAGTGACACAAGCCAGTCACAAAAGGACAAATGCTCTATGATTCCATGTATATGAGATAATTAGAGTAGTCAAATTCACAGACACAGCAAGTAGAATGGGAGTTGCCAGGGGCCGGGAAGAGGCAGGAATGGGGGGTTACTGCTTCATGGGAACAGAGTTTCAGTTTCACAAGATGAACAGAGCTATGGGGTTGGCTGAAGGTGATGGTCGCACATTATGCATGTCTTTAATACCCCCGAACTGCACATTTAACAACAGTTAAGATGGTAAATTCTACGTTACGTGTATTTTACCACACACATCAACACAATGTACCATTTGCAATGGAAATCAAAAATACAAGGGACCTGAGGGTCCATCTAACAAAAGATGTGCAAAGTTTTATGGAAAAATTACCGAAAGACACTCAAGACCTAAATACATAGAGTGATATATATCCCTTCCATGGATGTAAAGACAATTTCATAAGATGTCAGTTCTCCCCAAATTGACCTAAACATTTAATACAAATCCACCCAACAAAGTTTTACAAGTAACTTGAAAAGATGATTCTGAAATGTATGAGAGAGACAGGTGCCTGGATGGCTCAGTCAGTTAAGCATCCAACTCCTGATTTCAGTTCTCAGGGTTATGAGATCGAGCCCCACATCAGGCTCCATGCTGAGCATGGAGATTAAGATTCTCTCTTTCCCGGGGCACCTGGGTGGCTCAGTTGGTTGAGCATCTGCCTTCGGCTCAGGTCATGATCCCAGGGTCCTGGGATCGAGTCCCGCATCAGGCTCCTTGCTCAGCGGGGAGCCTGCTTCTCCCTCTGCCCCTTACCCCACTCGTACTCACTCTCTCTCTCTTCCTCTCTCTCAAAAACATAAATAAAATCTTAAAAAAAAGATTCTTTCTTTTCCTGTCCATCTACCCCCTCCCTCACCCCGCTTACACACAATCCCTCTCTAAATAAATAAATATAATGAAATGTATGAGAAAGAGAGTAAGAAAAATATAGCCAAGACATCCCTGATGAGGAGCAAAGCCGGGAGAACTTGATGTACCAGATACAAGACTTATATAACTCTAGTAATGAGGCAATCAGGTATCGACAGACACAGGAATCACCAAAGTGGCCGATCAAAGAGAACAACGAGCCAAAAAACAATCCACAAATATATGGAAGCATGATCCCTGATGAGGGTGGCTTTACAATCAGTGGTGAAAATACAAAATGTAACAGAAGCTGGGACATCAGTTACTACAGAAAAATAAATAAAAGAAAATATAAAAAAAGAAAATCCTTCATCCCTATAACACACAAAAATCAATCACAGAAGGGTAAAGATTGAAATGTGCAATGCAAAATATAAAAAGGTTTAGAAAAAAGTAAAAAATATTTTATGACCCTGCAAAGGAAGCGAGCATTCTTGAAAAAAAACACAAAAAGTAGAAATCAGAAAGGAAAAGACTGATGAACTTGACTAAATTAAAATAAAAACTTGTTCCTCCAAAGACACTATAAATAACCTGCGAAGATGAGCCACAAATTGAGAGAAGATATTTGCAATTCATAAGTGAAAAGTGATTATCATCCTAAATATATAAAGAACTCCTAAAAACCACTAAGAAAGCAACAGAAAACCTAATAGAAAATTAGGTAAAAGGCATGAACAGGCATTTCATGGAAGAAGAACGATGAATGGCCAATAATGATTTGAAAATATGCTCAACCTCATTAGTAATCAGAGAAATGCAAATTAAGACTATAGAGAATTACCATTTTATACAAACTAGTTTGGCAAAAGCGAAGAAGCCTGGCAAATTCTGAGCTTGCCGTGGAGCAGCAGAAGCCCTCGCTCACTGCTGCTGGCCGTGAGCGCAGGCAAAGCCACTCTGGGACACGGCTCGGCACCGTCTTCCAAAGGGGAGCAAGCACACGCTCTGCAATCCGGCTGTTCTATGTCTCAGATCTGCCATGCAGATGCATCTGGAGATCCATTTAAGAACATTCAGAGCAGCCTCGTTTGTAATACCCAGAAAACTGGAAGCAAATCAGATGTCGCTGGATGGCAGAAGGGAGAAATCAATTGCGATACATTCATAGAATGGAAAACTATACAAACTACAGGGAAACATCCACCTGGGCAGATATGAGAAACACAACGCTGAGTTGAGAAACAGTGTGATTGCATTTGTATCAAGCTCAAAAACCAGCAAAGTTACATAATGCGCTGTTTGGGGCTACATGTACACATGGTAAAACTACTCCCCGAAGGGTAAGAAAATTATAGACACAAATTTCAGGGAGGGAGTGTGTGTTTATGTGTAAGAGGGGTGCGGGGCATATTATTAGGGAGGGACGCCCAGACGGCGTCCTAATTCACCACTGTGGCTCACCCGTGTTTGCTATATTATCGCTGCATGACTTCCAGAAACACTACCTATTTTCTTTTGTACAAATCAACACTAAATAGAATAAAAAGATGCATGAGGAGATGATTTATGACAAGCTCCAAGCACATACGGCTGATCCACCGTATTCTTCCTGCATGCTGGGCACAGCACTAACTATATGATGTACACATAATAGCCAACCTAGTCTTCCAGTAGACCTACCAGCAGAGATGATCACTGGCCCCATTTTGTACATGAGGAAGCAGACATCCAGAGAGGTTAAGCAGCTTGCCCCAGGTCACACAGCTAAGAGGATGTGAGATGCAAACCCAGGTCTGTCTGACTCCAGAGCCATCCTTCTTAGCCACTGGTCCCCTGCCTCTCCCACAGCAGGTGCTCAGCAGGCTCAAGACTGCTCTGGTCCCCTCTGATCATGCAGTGTCACTCCTTTCTCGAAGTCCCTGGAACACTTCCCACAATCAACACGTGACCTCGCATGCCTCCCCTATGAGTCTGTGTCTAAGTCCTCCATTTTCCTAAAGCTCGCCCAGTGCAGACGGAATACCCATGTCTCCTCTGCATTACCCAGTGCTGGTACCCAGCGGGAGCACGACAGATGCTTCATTTTGGGTTTGAGGTGTTACAGAACCCATCGGAGGGGCTCGGTCCTCCTGGCTCAGGTGTGGAATCCCAGAGCCACAGGGAAGGGCGGGAGGGCCAGGCACTCACCTCGGGGGTTATAGCCGTGGGTGTCCATGAAGGAGAGGCCCAGCCGCTCATCCTCCTGCAGGGTGCTCTGGTCTGTGAAGCTCCGGTCCACAGCACTCATCATGTGGGTCTTCTCCTGACGGTAATTGGCGGTGGCCTTGGTCATGTTCACCGGCTTCCTGCAGGGAGGGGTTAACAAGAGACATACATGGGTGCTAAGCTGGGCAGGACAACGCCCAGAGGTGGATGGAGAGGCCCAACAGTCAGGGGGCCTTGAGGCCAGGGGGCATTCTAGAAGCGTCTCTAAATACCGAGAGGCTCTGCCTCTATCCTTTGCTTGGCAAACCCAGAGCTGCTGCCTCCCCCACAAGGGACTAGGCAGAGTCCCTGTCCTGGGGACCCTTGCTGAGAACAAGGGATGAAGCCCAGCGGCCTCAGGCTGGGACCTGGCCCCTGTCACTAGCCTGGAGGGCTCAGGAAATGGGAAGGATAGTCACTCTGGGACTATTTTGGTGTCACAGCAATCACCTCATCCAAACTAGGAAGATGACTACCCCAGCTCCAGCCCCAGCACGCCCCCAGAGCCATCCTCCTTTCCCCCATCCTCACCGAACATGTGCCCTGAGAACCCCTTTTTCCCACAATGGGGGTGCGCTATGCTCCTCCTTCATGGCAGAGAGTCTGGCCGCTGCTCAGCCAGTGCTCGGGAGTCTTCCTCTGGGCAGGGAATGAACTCCGACTGGCTTCTTCCTATCCCCAGAACCCCCAGGATGGTCCCACCATAGGCCACATTAGACATGTAAAGAGATCCATACAGGGCCCATATTCCTGCCACGGCCCACCAGTCCATCCAGTCACAGGAAGCAGTGGAAGGAGAAAGCAAGAGGCCCAGTCCCGCCTGAGAGGCCTGGTGATAGGACCCTAGACAAGGGCCCTGCACAGCCCAGGCCTCCAGCCCAGCTTTACAGATGAGGATGGCAGTTTGTGACTCCAGAGGACTCGGAGGGAAGTGGGAGGAAGAGCAGGGGTACAGCTCCATGACCGAGGGGCTGAGCAAAAGGGAAAGAGGGAATGACTTGGGACCTGTCTTGAGACTGCAGTGGAGTCAGGGGCCCAATTACAGGGAAGGCTCAAGATAAGATAGCCATTCACCCTGATGGGCCCTACAGCATGCAAGATGTGGGGTAGACCCAAGAGAGGACTTCCAGGTTAAGAGGGCTCAGGAACCTTGACCATCGGTAGAGATAAAGAGGCTAAGGAAGGGATCTTCCCAGACAGGCAAGTTCTAATCAGTCTGTCCTAGTTCGAGAGCTGTCTGGGGCAGGGGAAGACTGGGTGACCCCAACCACCAAGTTCTGGGCATCACCCTCACCATGGCCCAGGGCAGAGCCGAGGACCCCCTCGGGGGTAGGTGAGGAGAAGCCTCTGTGACTGTGGCCTTGACCATCAACAAAAGAGAGAAGGTAGAGGGGGAAGGAGGGAAGGAGAAGAGGTGAGGAGGGGGCAAGGGAATCAGGAGGATAAGGAGGAGGGGGAGGAGGAGAGACAGTAAAGAGACCATGACAAGGAGGGAGACAGGGAAAGGGACAGAGAGAGGGAGGGACAGGCAGACACCAGCAACCACAGGGAGGACAGAGGGCTGTGGACAGAGGACAGCAGTCAAGCTGTGCCTAGAAGGCAGTCTCCAGCGGTGTGCCCCAGGGCTCTGTTCCCTGCCCAGGCCTCTCGGTTCACGGGGAAGAAAAACTACACACACCAAGCACCCCGCTCCACAGAAGACAGAAGCCGGAGGGAC